GTAATTTCATCACAACTACAAAAGAGAGTGAGAGGAAAAATCAAATCTGAAGTGATCAATTTACAGAAAATATAAATTTGGGGCAAAAAGAGAGCCAAGGAACATGTTAAATGGGACCATGGGGCTACAATCAGCAAAACCCAGACAGGGGGATCCTCTAAAAGAAAATAGCTCCATTTCTTTAGTAAAACTTTACAAGACAAGACGGATGAAGGAGAAAGCTACAGATTAGTTGTTGTTAGGTGCCATCGAGTCGATACCAACTTATAGCGACCTTAGTTTAAAATCTTTTAAATCACATCAAGAAAATACAACGTGTGGACTTATTGGATCCTAATTCAAATAAATATGTTTTTAAAAGCCCACAAGAACAAGCAGCTTATAAAAATCATAAGCTAATGGTAAAATATGAACCCTAATTGGATATAATTTTAGATATGGAAGTTTGTTCTTTTTAAAATTCAGGTAATTTCACATAACATAAAATCAACCATTGTAAAGCATACAATTCAACAGTTGTACTACATTAAAGTTTGGTCTTTAAAAACTCCATATGACATTATAATTATTGTTTTACCCTATCAATGTTTACTTGAATTTAACCAAATATTTATTTCAAGAAAAATCTATTTATTTATTTTGGTGAAAACATACAGCACCCACCATTTCAATAATTTCTACATCTACAATTTAGTGACACTGATCATATTTTTCAAGTTGTGCAAACATTCTTACCATCCTTCTCAAAATTGTTCCTCCACCATTGACTTAGAAGGAGCTCTGGTAGCGTAGTGGTTATGAATCAGGCTGCGAACCACAAGGTCAGCAGTTCAAAACTACTAACTGCTCCATGGGAGAAAGATGAGGCTCTCTGCTCCCGTAAAGATTTACAGCCTCGGAAACCCTGTTCAGGGTCTCTATGGGTCAGAACCGACTCCATGGCACTTAACAACAACAACAACATTGGCTTAGACTCTCTGCCCTCTAAATTCTCTCATCTTACGTTTCCCACTGCTGTGGTCAATTTGATAGCCCGTAGATTATTTCTTAAAATAGTACAATGTTCAAGGTAGAGGGCTACTTTGTTTTAAAGCTACTTTGTGGTTTAAAGTCGTCCACTTTTTTTTAAACTACATTGTTGCTCTTTATACCTTTTTGGCATCATAGAATTTCTCTCTAGGATAATTTTCTGGCTGCTGAAAGTTCATCCTTTAGAATTTCTATTAAGATTTTGAACCGCCAGGTCAGGTGTTCAAAACTCACAAGCCATTCCTCAGAAACCCTATATACCTGCTATAATTAATGACTGTTGCAGTTTCTGGGTGGTGGAAACGGAGGTTAGCTTGCTTGGAGGTTTGAGTCTACCCAGAGGTATCCCGGAAGAAAGTCCTGAACTTCAACTCATGTGATCCCATGTGTGTCAGAGTGGAACTTTGCTTCATTGGGCTTTCAGTGACTGACTTCTTCCAAAGCACCACTGGGGAGACTCAAATCAGCAACCTTCCATTTAGCAGCTGAACATGTTAACAATTTATACCACCAGGGACTCCCCAAATAAACCACTCCCATATAACTCTGTGTCTCTCTCTGGCTCTGCTTCTGTGGGAATCTAACCTAAAAATACTGTCAAAAGCTTTGTCTTGTGATTGCTGAGACTCTGGAATTTTCTCTTTTACCCTGTCACTGCAGTGTCTTACGTGATTAGAATTTCAGATGCAGAACCGTTTTTATATTCCTGGGATAAACACTTCTGGGCCTGATGTTTTTATTCATCTTTAGTTTCATCTTAGTATTTTATTAAAAAGTAGTTTTAAATGATCACAGCTGGCCATGGAAACTGTGATGGCAAGTATAAACTGCTCACTGGCACCCTTCCCCCAAATGGTGCCCAGGGCACTTGTCATAATTGCCATGCCCTAGATGTTGTTGTTGTTAGGTATCTTCAAATTGGTTCTGACTCATAGTGACCTCATGTACTCATACAACAGAATGAAACACTGCCCAGTCCCGCATCATCCTCACAATCATTCTCCGTATGAGCCCATTGTTACAGCCACTGTGTCAAGCCATCCCCCTGAGGGACTTCCTCTTTTGTGCTGACTCTCTACTGAACTGGACTGCTAACTGTAAGGTTAGTGGTTCAGACGTTGCTCCTTGGAAATTCTATACAGGGTTGCTATGAGTGGAAACCGACTTGATGGAACTCAACAACAGCTCCTTTACCAAGCATGATATCCTTCTCCAGGGACTGACCCCTTCTGATAATATGTCTAAAGTACATGAGACAAAGTCTTGCCATCTTCTTTTCTAAGGAGCATTCTGGCTGTACTTCTTCCAAGACATTTTTGTGTTTTTTTCTGTCCAACACCATAATGCAAAAACATCAATTCTTCTTCAGTCTTCCTTATTCATTGTCCAGAACTCCCATGCATACGTTGTTGTTCCTAAGTGTCACTGAGTCTATTCTGACTTAAAGCCACCTTGCATACGGTTTCCTAGGAGCAGCTGGTGAGTTTGATCTGCCAACTTTGCAATTCAAACCAACCTTTATGTTGAGTGCTTATCCTATAGCGCCACACCAGGACCACCCCCAACTTCTTCTGCATATGAGGAGACTGAAAATACCATGGCTTGAGTCAAGGGCCCCTTAGTCATCAAAGGGACCTCTTTGCTTTTTAAAATTAAAAAAAAAAAAAAAAAAAGTCTTTTGCAGCAGATTTACCCAATGCAACAGGTTGTTTGATTTCTTGACTGATGCTTCCAAATACACTGATTGTGGATCCAAGTAAAATGAAATCCTTGACAACTTCCAATAATTTCTCCATGTATCACAATGTTGCTTACTGGTACAGTTGTGCACATTTTTGTTTTCTTCAATTTGAGAGGTGATCCACACTCAAGGCTGTAGTCTTTGATCTTCGTTATTAAATGTCCAAGTCCTCTTTCAGGAAGCAAGCTTGTATCATTGGCATATCACAGGTTGTTAATGAGTCTTGTTATAATCTTCTTCATATAGTCTAGCTTTTCGATTATTTGCTCAGTGTACAGATTGAATAAGTCTGGTGGAAGGATACAACCATGACGCACACCATTCCTGATTTTAAACCATTCAGTATCCCTTTGTTCTGTTCCAACACATGTAAGCATCTTTCTGGTTGGTATTTTCTGCTTTCTTCTCAAGTTGTCCTTTGAAACTTTCTGTTCAGATCTTTTACTTTATCATTTCTTCCATTTGCTTTTGTTATTACTCTGTGTTCAAGAACAGGTTTCAAAGTCTTTTCTGACATTCATTTTTGGTCTTTTCTTTCTTTCCTGTCTTTTAAATGACCTTTTGCTTCTTCATTTATGAAGTTCTTGATGTCCCACACCTAACTTGGTCTTGGGTCTTTAGTGTTCAGGACATCAAATCTATTCTTTAGATAGTCTCCAAATTTAGATGGGAGGTACGCAAGGTTGTATTTGGACTTCCTGATGGCACTTTAGGTTAAACACTGACTGCTAACCAGAAGGTCTGAAGTTCAAATCCACCAGGCACTCCTTGGTAAAAAGATGAGGCTTTCTGTTCCCGTACATAGCTTCGGAAATTCTATACAAGGAGACTATGAGTTCGAATCGACTCATGGCGATTTTTTGTTGCTGGTTTTTGGATATCCTAGATGTCACCTTAGGAGTCCTGGTGTGGTGCTGTAGGTTAATGTGTTGGACTGTAAGGTCAGTTTGAACAGCAAAGTCGGCGGTTCAAGCTCACCAGCAGCTCCTTGGAAACCCTACACAGGGTCGCTATGAGTTGGAACCGATATTTAACAAGTTACGACTCTGTAATATACAAATGTCTGAAAGATCATAATGCATGAGATAAATAGGTCGCAAACCAGTTCTTTCTTCTAGTCCTCCAACCCTACCAGGCTTGTTGTTAAGTGCCGTCTAGTCGGTTCCGACCCATAGCGACCCTGTACAGGGTTTCCGAGGCTGTAAATCTTTACAGGAGCAGAAAGCCTCATCTTTCTCCTGCAGAGCAGCTGGTAGTTTTGAGCAGCTGGTAGTTTTGAACTGCTGACCTTGTGGTTCACAGCCGATTCATAACCGCTACGCTACCAGAGCTCCTAACCAGGCTTGTAGAGGGCGGAAAAGAGAGTGCCTTGAGGACCGCTTGCGGGGGAGTTCCTGGGAAGCAGTAAACCAGCCGGGAAATCCGTCTCGAAAGAGCAACAGCGCTGCATTTTGCCCACTAGGAGGCAGCACTGCGCCAAGGAACTGCCGCCGGATTCCCAGCCAGAACGTGTGTTCCAGGGCAAGAGCCTTTGCCCGCCAGGCCTTGGTGTTCTCAACTAAGAGTTGAGGCGAGTGGAGCAGCCTCTCAGAAAAGTTGCCGGGCATCTGCAGTGAGTTCGTACCAGCTCTTCTTCTTGGCACTGACAACAATCACTGGGTGCTCGCGTAATACTCATTCACTTCCCATAGACGTACTGAGAGTCAGGCGGCGCAGCACGTCCCAGACCGCCGAGGGGGTCCCCTAAGCTCTCCAAAGCGCAGTTCAGGCTCGAGGGAGCCAGTTGCAGGAGACTACAGTTTCCAGAGTGCCCTGCGGCGACGGGCGGAGTCGGAGAGTGCCCGCAGCCAATTAGGGGGTCTCGGGGCGCTGCCGGGGAGCAGCAGGTGGAGCCACCGGGCCGGTGGGCGGGCGTGGGGCCGGATCCCCGGAACGCGTCCCGGGGCTCGGGGGTTGGGCGGAGGGCGCGGCGGCGATCGAGGCCGGCATTCCGGAGGCGGCCCCGGGAACTGGACAGAGCGGGGGCGGGTCCGTGGCCGCCTGCGCGGTTCCGGGTCTCCCGCGCGGCACAGCCCAGGGCGCACTTGACGGGCTCGGGCTGTGAAGAAGGGCGGATCTGGGGAGAACCCCTAGCGCCGCGGCGTCTTGCACCCCCCTCCTTGCGACCGCTGAGCCACAGCCACAGCCCCAAACCGGCGCTCCTCGCCCCTCGGCTCGCACGCCTCCAGCCATGGCTTTTGCCAATTTCCGTCGCATCCTGCGCCTGACCACCTTCGAGAAGAGAAAGTCCCGCGAATATGAGCACGTCCGCCGGGACCTGGACCCCAACGAGGTGTGGGAGATCGTGGGTGAGCTGGGTGACGGCGCATTCGGCAAGGTTTACAAGGTAAGGACACTGGAGACGGGTGGGTGAGTGTCCCAGGAGTGTGAAGCGACTCTGGAAGGAAGGGACGCTGGTTGCCCCGGCCACCACCGGGGAGGGCATAGCGGGTCTGCCCCGGCCCTGAACTCGGGCTTCCAGGCCTTCGCACTAGTGACCTTTATTCTTGGGGACACCTCGTCCAGTCCAGCTGAATCTCCGCGAGCAGGGAGCTCCCTCTGGGCAACGCTACTGCCCTTCGAGCTCCCGTTCTGAGCATTTCCTGTGCTTCAGGCACTGCACTCACCATAGCAGGGGGAGACAAAGGGGCGCCCAGCATCCGAAAGGGCCACCCTAGGCATCCGCAGTAAACAAACAGAATCTGTGACACGAGACATTCTTTGAAGAGAGACCACATAGATGTTTTAGGTATGCCGAGGCGATTGGGAAACCTCAGCTGCGTTGATAGTGTTGGAATCGGTGACGCTGGGGTGGAGGAGAAGGCTCACCTGAAGATGAGTTAAAGACCTGGAAGTGAGAAGGGCAAGGTGTGGCATGTAGCGTCAGAAGTTAAGGTTGGAAAGGTGCGTAGAAGGGAGGTCAGGGCCTGAGGAATGCTGGACTTGGGGGATCAGATTTGATTCTGTGCCTCTGAGTCACAGCGGGGAAACCTCCTCCCAGTCTACACTCATCTCTCCCCTGGAGGAATACGGGCAGAGAGCGTTTCTGGAGGGGTGGGTGGGGCAGTGCTGATTAAATCTTGACACGCTTGCTGGCAGGAGGTTGTGGGTTGCTACTCCTGAGATCTGCTCACAGTTGCTAAATTGTACTAGCGGCCAAACACCTAATGTCTGACATCACGACCTTTCGCGGATCTTTTTTCGCATAGGAAAACCTTTTTTTTTGAGATACCCACCTGCTTAACTGCTGTATGCCTCCAAGAGTTCCCCTCCTTCCTAAAGCAACCATCACCCTCCTTGGGGCTCCTGTATGTAGATGGTAGGCCATTCTGACCCTACAAGTGTCCTCTCAGAAGGCTGAACTTCTCCAGGCCCGCCCTGTGAGGACTTTGTCTCTTTGACTTTAAAGCAGCCTAGATCCCAGTTACTCAGTGTGGTCACTGGACCAGCATGATCAGCATCATCTGGAAGTTTGTTAGAAATGTAGAACCTCAGGCCCTACCCCAGAGCCACTGTGTTTGAATCTGCACTTTTAACAAGATTCCCAGGTGATGCTTAAGCACTTTGAAGTTTGAGAAGCTCTGCTATAGAAGCTCTGTGTGTGTGTATGTGTGTGTGTGTGTGAACTTTGAGGCCTACCAGCCCCATGTGGGTGCTTCTTTTGTTACCCTACCATCTCCACCCTGAGCCAGAACTTCCTGTTACAGAGAGGAACCCCCACAAAAGCAAAGGTCCTGTGGTTACAGAGGGGGGGTCTCAGTGTCACTCACACTGGGGCCTTTGGGATGATTGTCTACACTTCTCTCCTGGAGGGTTCTAAACTTATTTGAATGCAGCTAGCTCTCTATCCTTCACTACAACTCGCCTAGGGTAAGAGGAAATGGTCCCTCTGGACTCCTGCCATCTATGTCTTTGTCTACCTAGGATAGAGCCTGCTCCTTCAGATGTGCTCTGACCATCTTGAGGGCAGCTGGACACTTGGTCAGCTCACTCCATCTCCCATTGTCTCCAGAAGATTCAGTCGGTGTTTTGAGTACACACTGCTGGCTCTCTCTGATTTTTTTTTTCCTATTACCAATTGCTAAGGAGCTCTGGTAGCGTAGTGGTTACGAATCGGGCTGTGAACCTTAAGGTCAGCGGTTCGAAACTACCAGCTGCTCCGCGGGAGAAAGATGAAGCTTTCTACTCCCGTAAAGATTTACACCCTCGGAAACCCTGTACAGGGTCGCTATGGGTCGGAACTGACTCAACGGCACTTAACAACAACAACAACAATTACCAATTGCTGGCAAGTTGATTCTAACCCATGGCAACTCCGTTATATGTCTGAGTAAATCTGTGTTACATAGAATGATTTTTCAGAAGCAGATCATCAGGCCTTTCTTCTGAGGTACCTCTGGGTGGACTTGAACCTCCAACCTTTCTTTTAGCAGCTGAGAGTCTGTTTGCACTACCCATGGACTCCATCTCCCTCCCCCAATTTATCCTGGCTTCTTGTGGCTTGTTTTCTTTCAAACATACATGCAGAACTTTGCTTTCACATTTGTCAGATTTTTCCTTAGTTTGAATTGTCATTTCTGCCAGCTTTTTAACTATCGCCTTGTTTAACTATCCCAGGCGACTCTGGGAGTTTCACACAAAGAAGGCAGTCTGAATCACAACTAATTGTGTCTCCCCTTGGTTTTTCAAGGCAGGTGGATGCTTTTAAATGAAAGTCCAAATTTAAAAGCTACAACAACTATGCTCTCCACATCTTTAAACACATGTCTGGAGAGAACTCTCTGATTCCAGATTTTCTGGTGAGAGTCTTGGAGATGCTCAAGGCCCTGCCTTACCCATGCTGATAAGCCTTTCTTCCCATTGCCTCTGTAGAAAAAGGGATGGATAAGATTGAATTTGTGCAAGGCCAAGCTCCTTCTCCCATTTCATGCCATTGCAAACTAGTTACAAAGGAAAATAATTTCCATTCTGTTTCTTGACACAAAGTAAAGTTCACAAGCTACATGATTTCAAAATTTTCATCATTAGAATAATCATTTTGAAAAATTTGTTGTTGGTCTGAAGACAAGGTAGAAAGGCAGGGAAGTGTTTCGTACTATGTTGAGTGGAAAAGTCTGCTGTCAGTAGGGCCTGCTTGTTGCCATAGCAGCTGAGTAAAACAGGTAATCTTGTGCTGAACAGGGACGAGAATTGTGCAGAAATGCAAGGGAGTGGCTAGCTGGCTGAGATTAGTTTTATGCTTCTTGAAAATTGCTTTGGCTTTGATCTTATATTCTCTTTAAGCCTTTTCAGTTTATTATCTTGCCAGTTTAAAAACACAATATGTACTCACTAGTTTAAAAAAAAAAAAAAATTGGAGTCCTGGTATGGCGCTGTGGAATAAGCACTAGACTGCATGGTTGGTTTGAACCACAAATTTGGCGGTTCGATCTCACCAGCTGTTCACTGGAAACCCTATACAGGGTCGCTGTGAGTTGGAACCAACTCACCTACCCTGAACAACAACAATAACAGTTTAAAATTGGGAATATACCAAAACAAACAAATAAACAACAACAAAAAACCCCAGCTACCAATACTGATTGTTCTGATTAATGAAACAATAGAGGGTCCAGGATAGAATGAGAGAAAAATGTAGAACAAAACTCAAATTCTTAAAAAAAAAAAAAAAAAGATAAACTTACAGGATTGGTAATGAGTAGAGTATCCCCCCAAACCCCCTTTATAACTAAAACCACTCCCAGAGGTCACTTCCAGCCAAGTAACAGATTAGCTCATAAAATAAACAGTATCACCTATAAGTGGTTGTTTCTTTAAATAAACAATAAACTGAGAACAAATAGTCAACATTTACCCTAATGCAAAGATGTGAAGGTAAGGGGAAGGGCATGGAAGCTAGTGAGATGAATAGACATACAACAAGCTTGAATGGAAGTAACAAAATTGCTGCCACATTGTAAAAAATGTAACCAATGTCACTGAATAATATGGAGGTGGTGATTATGTGCTGTGGAGTCAGTTCTGACTCATTCCAACTCTATCAGGTTTCTAAGGCTATAAATCTTTACAGGAGCAAAAAGCCTCATCTTACTCCCATAGAGCGACTGGTAGTTTCGAACTGCTGACCATAAGATTTGCAGCCCATCTCATAATCACTACGCTACCAGAGCTCCTTAAAAAATATGTTTGTTGTTGTTGTTTAAGTGCCGTCGAGTCGTTTCCCACCCATAGTGACCCTGAACAGAGATTCCAAGGCTGTAAATCTTTACGGGAGCAGAAAGCCTCATCTTTCTCCCGCAGAGCAGCTGGTAGTTTCGAACTGTTGACCTTGCGGTTCACAGCCCAATTCATAATCACTATGCTACCAAATCTCCTTAAAGAATATGTATAGAACTTGTTAAAGGAGAGCCTAATTTGCTGTTGTATATGTTTCCCAAAATCATACTAAAAAATTATTTTTTAAAAAATTAAGAAGAAAAAAGATCACCCTGTTGTCAGGAGGGACCAGTCACTGGAGAAGGATATCATGTTTGGAAAGGTGGAGGGTCAGAGAAAATGAGGAAGACCCCCAATGAGATGGATTGGCCAGGTGGCAGCATCGGTGGACTCAAGCGTGGGAACAGTAGTGAGGTTGACCCAGGATCGGGCAGTGTTTCATTCTGCTGTGCATAAGGGTGTTATGAGTCGGTACCGACTTGATGGCACTTAACAACAACGTCTCCATCAATTGCTGTTCACATTTAGATGTATTTTCTTCCAGACTGTATTGCTGTTACAGTAATTTTTAAAATGTGAAGTTGTAATCATATATGTTTAAAGTTCTTTATTTTGTTCATTGTCTTTTTTTAAAGCCATGTTTCATCCCTAAAGCCTTTGCTTACATTATTTTAAGTGCTTTACAGTTACCTTCTGGGATGGCTCAGTGTTACCTGATCATAACTTATTGACTATTTAAAGTGTTTTCTTTGTTTTACTACTAATAAGTTAACATCTCTTGAATGCTTAATATGTGCCAGACACTGTGCTAAGCACTATATAGCAACACAGTGCAGCTGTAATATGATATATGTGTTCTAAAACATCATGTTGCTATGCAAAAATCACCCAGTAAAAACTGAAGGGCTTACAGGGAAAACGGGGTTAAGGGCTTACTGTCACCAGTAGCACCAGAGGGAAAAAGGTGGAAACCTAATAAAAACAGTAGCACACTTACTTTTGTTTTTTTAAACTGTGAGCCAATACCAGAGCCAGGATGTTAATCTAGGTCAATTTTTGACTCCAGACCCCACATTCTTTTCATTTCCTCTTTAATTATGGTAAAGTGTACATACATTTAACAAAAGTTGA